AAAAACAGAGGAAGATGCATGAAAATAGAAGAAGAAGAAGATATCAAGCCGAAAATCAAGAATTTGTCTGGAGAAAATGACAAATTAAAGAAGAAGATGAATGATATAATATTCACGTCAATGCTACAAGAAGATATCCCAGATGAATTTTCGTGAAAGAAAATTAAGTTTGGAAGATTGCATGAATTTGACTTGGAGATCAAGCATCTATGGAAAGAAAGGAGTACATCAAATATGATTGGAGATTTAACTAATAAGTTGTACGGACGAAGTGGAAGATGCCTGATATATTATGCGAAATTGCTCAAGTTTGAAACTCACCATCAATAATTTTACAAGGTAAAATTTGAGAAGCCAAAATTAATTAAGTCTGATGGAGTTGGGCGCTGATTACAAGTGGAATTTGGGATTGGGAGCTAATTTCATAGCAATTGAAATTAGGAGCTAGTTCGAAGCAATTGAAATTGAAATTGGGAGCAAATTAGGAGCTAGTTCGAAACAATTGAAATTGAAATTGGGAGCAAGAGCTAATTGAGGTTGTAGTATGGGATGCAATTCGAAGAAGACATGGAGATCAAATTGAATTGAGATAAAACTCAATACCAGGAGAAGTCTGGGAGCCAATTTTGAAGTCAAAGTCAATAATTCAAATTGGGAAGCAATTGAAAGCACCAGGAGTAGATTTGGAGCCAATTACAAAGGAGAAATTCAAATTGGGAAGCAATTGAAAGCACCAGGAGTAGATTGGGAGCCAATTACAAAGGAGAAATTCAAATTGGGTGCCAAATGAGAAATTCAAATTGGGTGTCAATTACAAAGGAAGAAGTTAATTGCAATTGGGTGTCAATTACAAAGGAGAAATTCAAATTGGGAGGAAGTTCACAACCAGTTTGAAGTCTGAGAACACCCAGACGTGAGAATGAAGAAGATGAAAATGAACTTACAGAACACCCAGACGTGAGAATCAAGAAGATGAAGATGAACTTACAGTGAAAATATTCTCACAAGGAAAAATGCTAGTTTAACTAGTATGGGATTAAATTGAAGAATATTTTTAAATCCCAAAGATTCAAGGACCACTTCAGAGCTAATCAGAGAAGCCGTTCTACACCCAGATATTTCCACTCAACGTAAAACCAGAGGAATATTAGATGAAGTTTGGGAACCCATTCACATGAAGTTCAAGCTCTCAAACGACTAGCTTATCCTTTCTTACATCTTTGCAGAAGATAAGATAAGATCTCTGACAAAAAGATACAAGATTTCAAAAATGAGATCGTCTCTTTCCAACGGATAGATCCTCATTACCAGCTATAAAATGATGAAGATATGAAGACTTGAAGATCAGGGGAACGAATAGAGCAATAGAGCAAGATATACGAGCATAGAGCAACAATCTCATTTGGTACAGAGCATACCAAAAATCTTCAAGTGAGAAGTGAGAAAAGAAAAAGAACTCAGGGAGCTTCAAGAGAAAAATATTCTGAGAGTTCATAAACAGAGCAAAACAGAGCATAAAAATCAAGTGCTTTACTTGATATACTCAAAGAGAGAAAACACTCAAATCGTTCAAGAGAAATCATTCCAGAGTGTTTATCTTCATCAAAGAGACCTGTGCATCATTGAAGATCAACTACAGAGTCTCAGAAGTTGGAAGCAAGACAACACTTGTTTTGGAGCAAAACAAGAAAAGGGAGAAAAGTAGCACGAAGCTGTGAAATCCTGGATTGTCACACGGAGCTGTGAGATCCGAAGCAGCAGTGTCGGAGGCACTGGGCGTGATTAGTGCGGGCTTTGTGATCAAAGCACTAGATCACGGGATACGTTTCTACCGGAGTGTGGAAGACGGGGGGGAAAGTAACGCGAAGTCGTGAAATCCTGGGATAGTAGCGCGGCGACGTGAAAACCGAAGCAGCAGTGTGGTGTCACTGGGCGTGATTAGTGCGGGCTTTGTGATCAAAGCACTAGATCACGGAAATTCATTGTATCTTGGAACCAAGAAGTGGTGGATATAGTGAATTGCTCTTGGAGATAAGAGCAAGTGGAGTAGGAGGATTACACCACCTCGCGAACCACTATAATTGTCTTGTGTTCTTTACTGCTTTCTTTACTTACTGCTCTTTACTTAATTGCTCTACACGAGATATACTGCTCACACAATCTCACACGCACTTTATCTTTATTTATTTCCGCTGTGCACCATACTCTAACAATCTAGTTAAGAGTTTTGGTTTATCTCTGGCTTAGCAATTGTTGTGCTGTGCAAAAAAGTTTGAAAGTGTATTCACCCCCCCCCCCCCCTCTGGACTTTCACCTTACCTCTTTTCGGACCAACACAGGGTACCTGCATTTCTTGTATGCATTCTGCGCATTCAATCCCGCAATTGATGGCTTCTGCCACTGCATCCCTATTATTTGTGTTAACGGTAACCACTTGTACAACCAGTACAAAGACCATTTCCTACTAGCCTACGGATACACCGCCAACAAGGAAATCTATCCACTGGCATATTCAATCGTTGACTCCGAAAATAATGCCAACTGGAGTTGGTTTCTATGACTTCTGGCCATACATGTCTTTCCACATCACAATCCAATGTGCATCATCTCGGATAGACCCGATGGAATAGAAGCGGCGTTTAATTCCGTGGAAGAATTGAAGGGCGGCCGTGTGAAACGCCAGTTTTGCCTTCGTCACATTCGCAGCAATGTCTTGACGAAGGTGACCAGAAATAGGCGGTTAAGGAAATTAATATGGGAAGCTGGTACTGGTGTAATAAGGAATCAATTCCTTCAACACATGCAGACCATCCAACTTAAATGGCCGGCTGCATACGCCTATCTTGCCGACATTGACGAAGAGAAGTGCACATTATCTCACAACGATGGTCACTGGTACGGCATCATGACAACCAATCCATCTGAGTCACTTAATAACTCACTTAAGTGTTGTCGAATGTTACCTGTCACGCAGTGCAAGCATTCAACAGTTTAATGACACACTCAGGATCTATGGCGTTTCCCTAAGTACTGGTTAATTGGTTATATCTCTATAAGTCAACAAAATCATTTTCAAGTTAAGCAGACGGAACGTACGTGTAACTGCGGATTGTGGAACGTGAACGGCATACAATGTGCACATGTGATTGCAGCATGCAATTACCGAGGGGAAGGGTTTTCCCCATTAGTGCCAGAAGTTTACTCCATACAAAACTACAGGAACTGTTATGCCGGAAATTTCTACCCAGAGGACGAAAGAACTCAGTGGACCAGTTCAGTTACATGCATTCCGCCAATTTCCGTTAGGCCTCGAAATCAACGAGGCCAACGGTGAACACGTAGGCTTCCAAATGAAATGGACTTTGGTTGAAATCGAAGTACAAGATGTAAGTATTTTCGGAGGACCACTAATCCTTCCGTGCACTGTCCAACTTTGAATCATTAATAAAATAATGCTTTGTTCTATTTATAATTATCCAAATTTTTCATATAAATTGTAATTACTCTTAAATCATTTCTCCTAATCATTGCTTTTTACTTTCAATTAAAACAACCTAATTATTGCTAAATCATATTAATTATCATTACTTTACTCCATTTATTTCCGCAAACAGAAAATTAAAAAAAAAAAAAAGATTCCGACTAGTGGAGTCCGAATTCCATTCCACAGAAATTCGGCCTCCCAAATGTCGGATTTCCTTGTCCAGTATCCAATTTCACATGCACGAATTTTTCGACTTCTAGCTTATGATTCATCGACTTCTAGCTTCGCCATCGACCTTGGCTTATGTTTGCTTCATCGTTGGTTGTCGTCTTCATCGTAGATTCGCATAGGAGAGCGGGAGGCGCCGACGTTGACTACTAGCGTCGTCATCGACCTTTGGGCTTGGCTTCGTTGTCAACCATTCAACCGTTAACTTCATCGTCGATTGTCAGATTCGCAGGGAGTATCGTCGTCGCCAATCGGCTTTGGCTGAGTTTGGATGAGCGACAAAGATTGCAGAATCGCAGGGAGTCATTTGTCCAATACAAAAAAGATTGCAAAATCGCAGGGAGTCATTTGTCCAATACGAAAATAGATTTGAACCCATGCTAAGCTACTCCAACTAATAGTAGCTTATAATAACATCAAGTTTGGAGTTCAACCAACTAAACTACTCAAACCAATAACAAATTTAACATAAGTATAAGTTTTATATAACATTTACAGCATGTTTGGTTCATGGAATGAATTTTAAAGGAATAGGAATAGTATTCCATAAGGAATGGAATAGGCAAGGAATAGAATAAGAATTGTATTCTTTTGTTTGGTTCGTTGAAGGAATAGAGTTTAGGAATGTTATTTCAGTGTTTGGTTGGTTTAAGGAATAGAAATGGAATATGAGTTTAAAAGACATAAATACCCCTATACAAAAAATGTATTATTATTATTATTATTATTATTATTATTATTATTATTATTATTATTATTATTATTATTACATATGTTTTTAAATAATGTTATTCTGTAGAAACTACAATATTGTATAAAAATTAACATATATATACACAAATATTACTGATAAGTGAAAGAACAACTGAATTTGAAAGTATCAGGGAGTTTTGTTCAAGATAAGAGATTACCCTTGATTAAGGATTCTTTCTACAACAACTTGTTAGATAATTAAGAGTCCTATCTTCACTATACAAGGAGATGTGATTAGTTCAAGCAGACAAGGAATTACAAGTGATTAATTTATCTATCTCCCTCACGCCATTTCACATAATTATCTCTAAAAGCCTGAGAATTAATTTGTTTAATCATTCTATCATTGTTAGTGATAAAAAATATATATATTAGAGAAGTCATGGCTATGTAAACCACTTGAAGCGGCACGGCGAAAGAGGACGACATGGTTCGTCGGCGGCATTAATAACGGTGCTTTTGGGAATAGGTGAATTGTGGATTGATGCAAATTCTTTGGAATTTAAGAATTTTAACAAGAAAAGAGAGACTTTCGTTTTTCACTTCGATTTGCCGCAGATCAGCTGAGCCGCGAGCAGACGTCGCCATGGGAAGAAGACCAGCAAGGTGTTACCGTCAGATTAAGAACAAGCCTTACCCGAAATCAAGGTACTTCCGTGGTGTGCCTGATCCGAAGATCAGGATCTATGATGTTGGAATGAAGAAAAAGGGGGTAGATGAGTTCCCCTTCTGTGTGCACTTGGTTAGTTGGGAGAAGGAAAACGTGTCAAGTGAGGCACTTGAAGCTGCTCGTATTGCTTGCAACAAGTACATGACAAAGTTCGCTGGAAAGGATGCCTTCCACCTGAGGGTCAGGGTACACCCCTTCCATGTTCTGCGTATCAATAAGATGTTGTCGTGTGCTGGAGCTGATAGGCTTCAAACTGGCATGAGAGGGGCTTTTAGCAAGCCTCAGGGTGTTTGTGCTCGTGTTGCCATTGGGCAGGTTCTTTTGTCTGTGTGCTGCAAGGATGCCAATGGCAACAATGCCCAGGAGGCCTTGCGCCGTGCTAAGTTAAAGTTCCCCGGTCGTCAAAAGATCATTGTCAGTAGGAAGTGGGGTTTCACAAAGTTCAGCCGTACCGACTATGTGAACTATAAGAAAGAAAACCGCATTCAACCTGATGGTGTCAATGCTAAGCTCTATGGATGCCATGGGCCCCTTGCTAATCGTAAACCTGGAAGAGCTTTTTTACCTGCAACAGCATAAAAATTATATACAACTACAAGAAGCCCTGCCCTACCTACTTATGCAATGTACTGAGTATACTTTAATTTTTAATTTTGTTGTCTAAGAACATGGATTACTTACAATGAATATTCAGTATTAAATATCAATAATAATTAATTTGTAAAAAATAAAATTCAGAAAATTATCTTTGTTTGAAGCTTTAATTTGATGTTGATGTAGATGATAGAAAGAATTGCAAAGATTGATGCAGAATGGCCGGAAGAAATTGTTTGATTAATGCTGATGATGAAAAGAGAACGCAGAAAATGATAAAGGTTAAAATTGAAAAAAAAAAAATCGATTCATGAGGACTCAGGAATAAATTAATACCAGGGGGCCCTGGTAATAGCTATTACCATATTTGAGGTAATAGGCTATTACTAGGAATATTAAGCCTGGTAATAGACATGGTTACCAAACAAAGAAATAGGCCTATTACTGGGAATGCTATGTCATTCCCAGCCTATTCCGTGAACCAAACGGGCCGTTAATGCTATATATGTATCTATACATACATATATATATATATATATATATATATATATATATATATATATATATATATATACATATATATATATATACATATATATATATATATATACATATATATATATATATATATATGTGTGTGTGTGTGTGTGTGTGTGTGTGTGTGTGTGTTCAAATGAGGACAAGTATATTATAGAGGATTGTGAGGACTGATGTAGTGTGTGCCATTAGGCGGTATGTCGTGTGCATGGCCAAATGTAGTCGTGTGCCACAGTTTGTATGTCGCGTGCTAGATTTGTTAATTTATAGAGCCTGGGTTCGAAACCTGATATTTACATTTATTCTTGTGTGCCATTATGTATTAAGTTGTGTGCCTGGTATTAATTTGTTGTGTGCCCATTATTTGTCCTCACAGTCCTCTATATATTGTTGTCCTCATTTGAACTCAACCATATATATATATATATATATATATATATAGATTTTGGTTCTTGTGAGGTCAGGTCTTCCCGTGTGGTCAGTGCGGCACACACCATTAGGTATGCATAAATGTACCATACAGTGTTCGAAAATACATCAAAATGAAATGCCAAAAAATACACCACACATAATGGTGTATTTATGAACACTGTGTGGTGCATTTGTGCATATCTAATGGTGTATGCCGCACTGACCGCACGGGAAGACCTGACCTCACAGGAACCTGACCCTATATATATATATATATATATATATATATATATATATATATATATATATATACTAGTTTTACACGCGCATTGCGCAAATGGTTTAATACCCAATGTTTATAATTAAATAAATATTTAAAAGTATATCAATGCAAGATTATATATGAGAAGTTCATACATAAGTAATTTAATGTCGAATTTGTTTATTTAAATATGTAACTCATAGTATATGAATACAATATAATATAGGAGATTCATTATAATTGTCACTAATTTTTTTTAAATAGTAACTAAGTATTTTTTGTTGCAAAGGTTTTAATATATAATGAATGCACTTATACACATACAAGATCAATGAATGAATCAATAGTACCAGTCATTGGTGTTTTGCTCAGTGTGGATTTAGTTCAATCATTATTGTTGAATGAATTATTATGGATAAAGAAATTCATAATTTAAGAAATTTAGATGAAATAGTAAACATTTAAAATTTTGTAATATAATGTAACACAAAGATATTGCACGGTTGGTAAATATGATGTAATCCAAAGATCAAAATGTTAAAGAAAGTGTTTAGTTATTCAACAGTTTGGAACAACAATTTGTTCCAAACCACTGAAAATACAAACACTGCAATTTACAATATCTTCACTTAGCGTTTTGGGAAGAATGATTTCCCCAAAACACCCATGTATTAAAAATAAACGTTTAGTATAGAGTCGTTTCGACTTCTTGAATAACAAGAGCCAGTTTAGCTTAGGGGTGTAAACGAGCCGAGCCGAGCTCGAGCCTGGGTAGGCTCATGCTCGTGCTCGTTAATGATAGCACTGCTCGAGCTCGAGCTCGAGCTCGTTCGAGCTTGTGAACTGATGCTCGAGCTCGAGCTCGGCAATTGTCGAGCTGCTCGAGCTCGAGCTCGAGCAACTCGATTGTTCAAACTCGAGCTCGAATTCGAGCTATAACCTGAGCTCGAGTTCAGGCTCGAATTTGAGCTCGCGTTTAGGCTCGAATTTGAGCTTAATTTTGATCTCGAATTTGACCTGTTTGATTTAAAATTTAAACTACTTTGTTTTATTATTTTTATCCATACATAATTATTAAAGTATTTTAATTTCCCTCCCCTAATTATTATTTTTTATATACTAAATATAATATAATTATATTATATATTATATATTATATAATATATTATAAGGCTCGCGAACGGCTCGTCGAGCCGCGAGCCTACAATACCTAAGCTCGGCTCGTGCTCATTTAATCCACGAGCTGCTCGAGCTCGAGCCGAGCTCGATTTTGACCGAGTTCGAGCCGAGCGTTGACCGAGCCGCTCACGAGCGACTCGCGAGCAGCTCGGCTCATTTACACCCCTAGTTTAGCTGGCTCACTGCTTGCCCATCAACGGAGGCTCCTTTTAAAATTTAAATTGGAGCTTTGTTGCTCATTTTATAGGAGCCTCAAGGTTTTCATGTCACTTTTTCCACCGATGTGTAAAAAGTGGCAAAACTAAGAGGGGGGCGGAACGTTCAGCTCCCCACATGTTTTATTATTTTTATATTAAATTTTATTTTTTTTATTAAATTATTATTATTATTAGGAATAATGGTCAAATATGCCCGTCAACTATAAGCCAAAGTCAAATTAAATCTTAAACTAAAAAATGCTAGCTTCAATTAGACACCTTAACTCCTCATTTTTATGCAATTACATTGATTAACAAGTTACCTTCAAGTAAAAGGTAAAAATGATTCTTTTTATTAATTAAAATTAAAAAGACATATTTTTTTAAATTCAAATAAATTAATTAAAATAAAAATCATATTTTTAATTCAAATAAATGAATTAAATTAAAAAAAAAAAAAAAAAAAAAAAATCGCCCGTTATGGAGAAAGCCGGCCACGGCTTCTTCATGATGGTTAGCCTGACCAAAAATCTTGCTTGTCCATTCTGTTAACCACTTTTTTCATCTTTCCCTGCAACCCTTGCAAGCAGGGCCGGATTTGGGGCTGTGCAAGCTGGGCTACCGCACAGGGCCCCCAGTTTTAGAGGGCCCCCAAATTTTAGAGGCCCAGTATAGTAGTATACCTAATATACCTCACAAATTAAAAAAAAAATTCTGAGGAATAAACTGATCAGTTTTCTCCGTTAATTAAACAAATTTTTTTTTTTTTTTACAATTAAACCGATCAGTTTTCTCCAACGTTAATTAAAATTTATGAAAGAATTAATTGAGTAATCAATAATGTTGTTTCCCGATGTTTCTTTGTCTTCTTTGCCGATTCATGATTGGCAGGGCCGTAGAGGATTGAGAGGAATAAGTTCAGAGATTCAGAGTTCAATTCATCTTAGTCTTCTACTCTTCTAGTCTTCTTCGACGTCCACACTTCTGCGTTTCCGGCAAACGCTGCACACTCCACGAATTTCATCTTAGTCTTCTACTCTTCTTATTCTTCTAGTCTTCTTCGACAATTCTGCACGGATTCACGGAAATACGGAATCGGGAAGACTGGAAGCGGTGAAGTCTTCAATCTTAAACCTGGGCGTTTCCTCCTTATTTGCATCTTTGTTTTTAAATCATATATATCATTATTAGTTAATAGTTATCACGCCGGCAAGGCAATACGAACTCTGGACTCTGGACTTATTGGATTCTGCGCTTTTCTGGACTCTGGAGTTCTGGCTTCTTGCCTTCTTCCTTATGCGGTTCTGCCCCTTCTGGTCACTGACTCACTGGTAAGCAACTCAGCAATCATAATAAATTTATTCTGCGTTTTGTTTTAATCAATTTTTTTTTGAAAAATTGTTTTAATCATTTTTTTTTTGAAAAATTGTTTTAATCAAATTTATTATGCATTTTGGCACTTTTTGCAAGTCTTGTTGTAGATATTATAGATTCTGTGGCGGTGTACTCGGTGTTGGCTTGTTACCGGGAGACGGGGAGAGGCGGGAGTGCTGCTGTGCTGGTCGGCGTGACGGCAGTAAGGCAGTAACCGACCAAGACAATAAACAAAAAATAAGGACTTTTCAATCAGGTTGTTTCAATCCTTTTTAACTTTAAATTTTTAATTTTTAATTTTATATGTTATATGTGTAATGTGATTGCTCCTTGCCTCTTTGTTAGAATATTGTTGTTTGATAACTTTGATTTCAATTGCTGAATCTGTGAATTGCATATTATGGCTCCCGGCATTAGGAAATATGAATCTGGTTATGAAAAACGTAAGAAACAAAAAAAAAATGAAGAGTTACAACAATTACAAAGAGGAGCATTAGATAAGTTTATAATTAAAACACCACAAATTTTTTCTGAAAATCCAAATGTTGGTGTTGATGTTGATAATGAAAACAATGTGGATAATCATGATACTAATGTTGAAAATGGTAACAATGTGCATATTAATATTGAAAATATTGATCAAGTAGAGAATGAAAAAATGAATAATTCACCCAACAATGATGATGATGCAGATGCTTTATATGAAACTAACAATTGTGATATTTTTGATCCAAGAAATTGGGATGGACTTGATTCGAAAATGATTGATTTATTAGTAATCAATGGTCCTAAGAGAGATAATTCTATTGTAAAAGGTCCTAAAGATAAGTTTTCTAGGCAATTTAATGCAAATTTGTATACTAGGGTCTTATCAAATGGCGAAAAATGTGATAGAGAATGGTTAGTTTACTCAAAAGAGCTTGATAGAGTTTTTTGTTTTTGTTGCAAAATCTTTAAAAATGGTATTGGTAGAGGTCAATTAACAAATGAAGGTTTCAATGATTGGGCTCATATTGGTGAAAGACT